TTGTTGTTTTTCTTAAGACAGACGATAATAGACAAACAAAAAACACATTAAAATATCTTGTGAATTTGTTAAACAAAACACGAAGATAAATCTCTAAAGCCACGAAAAGTAACGTTAATCTTTATTTTTGGAAGAAAACACCCAATCTATATTTTTTAAATACATTTAATACGGTTACTTCGACGAATCGCTCATTATCAGGTGTCAGATTCGTACTTTTTAATTTTCTGTAGGCAAGTACCGAGTTTTGTAATTCTAGTTTTTGGTCCCTAAATTTTGCGGCATGACAGCGAAGTTAAAAAGGTAGTCGTCTATTGACATGTTATTCTGTCGTCGATATTGTTCAAACGACTCTTAAAAGAGCGTATCAAACTTTTCATATCATTTTTCCATTCTCTCATCGCCATGTAATCTAGTAATGTCCAGTTCCAATACGGTTTTTCTAGCTTTTCTTTCCTAGAATAAGATTACTGTGGGTGCACAATGAGGTTTGTTGATGAAAGTAGCAAGTTCTTAAACTTCTTTTTACTAAGTGTTTAAAATAGGTAGAGAAATAATTTTGGAAGCCATTGTGTGGATCGAGAACAAAATAAACCAAATTAAACCAACAAGAAGTTTCTAAAAAGCGCATTAAAGTTTTTGTATTCTTTTTATTTATTACATATGATTAGGAAAAAAGTTTATTTTCATAAAAGAAAAACGTTTTAGGCATTTTATAGAATACATGTTTTTATGTTACTTCGCAAAAGAATTTAAATCATAATTGCAAGGCCTTCACAAAAACAATTACAAACGGTGTTTTTCGTTCATTTTAGCATATGGAAAGAGATAACTTTCTTATGAAAAAAAAAATACATCTAAATAAATAAACGATAAATTTTGTCGTGTCTCTGAAACTCCTCTAACTCTTGCCACACTTGCTCTACATAGACATATTGTAGCTTTTTAGAATCCGGATGATCCCGGGATTGAAAATCTGCCTTTCATCTGGAGCTTGAACATCCAACATTGGGATTTGTGTCCGGATGAGAACGTAACAATGAAAAATTCGAATTTTAAAATAACTGAAAAAATTCGTGGTTTTAAAAGTTTTTAATTTATACTGAGTTTAAATTAGCACAAAATCTTTACGAATTTAAAAATATATATATTTTAAATTCAGTTTAAAATTTCTCCAAAACTTTGTGAATTAAGGAAATCAATTTTATTTCTTCAAAATGCCAAGGAATCAGAGTTAAAGTCAGAGGTTTTGTGATGTGAGGTTTTGAAGTTCAACAGAATCTGTGATTTGAAGAACTCAATTTTCGGCCTGAATTCGAATTTCGGCCCAAATCGAAGTTTCGGCCGGAACTGAACTTATTGACCAAATCAAAGTTAAAGTGAGGTTTTGAAGTTCCATGGGGTGAATTGATGAATTCACTGTTTATTTCTTCAAATTTATCATTGCTGTTTTCTAAACTGGACCAAAGTTCCCTTTAGTTTTCGACTAAAATTAGCCCTCCGAAGGAGATAGCTTAAAAGTCCACACCGAGTTTGGTTTGTAATCTACTTTTTTTTTTAATTTAAATTCTTTAATTTTACTATAATTTTAAATTCCATCACAAAAATAGTGAAAAAATGTTCTTTCATTTTTTGCACTGATCAAACCTTTTCCCATTTTCATTTTGCTTTGAAAAACTTCAAAAAGCTTCAAAAAGTTCGGAAACTTCAAAAGCTTCAAAACTACATTTAATTCGGTACCTCCTAAACAGCAGTGACTAAGATGGAAGTTTAAAAACTTAAAATCTTTCTGAAAACTTTAATTTTTGTTTTAATTTCAAGTTACTAAATTAAATTTAATATTCCCAAAAAGCGAAATATTTTGATATATTTAAAACCGAATTTATATTGATTGGAATCTTTTTTTTCTTTTAGTTATCAATAAAATCTATAAATTCGTTCATATTGACAGATCTGTCAACAAAAACTATTCTCTTTTTAAAAATGTGTATGAAGATCCGAATTTCCAAGATTCGACACGTCTATACACACAAAAATAAATTCAAATTTACCCCAACTTTTAAGTTTTCTATAGAGAATAAAATATAATTTTAACATCAAACAGTCCTCTGATCTTTTCTTTTAATAATAACACAAAATGTTTACAATAAAATTGTATTTTTATTATGTTTTGGACATTTTTTTATTTTATAGTCTCGTTTTTGAGCGAATCTTTGAGCGAATCCTAAATTTATTGGATGTATTTTTAAATCGGTGTACTTTAGTATTAATTCTTTCAGATCATATCCAATAAAGAAAATATTAAAGATCAGGGCAAATATTTTTGTTATTATTTAAATCATTGATTTTTCCAAAGCATTCAATTCTACTTTCCTGAAGTATACCTGAAAATTAGATCTTTCAATTCGTGTTTATTGTCATCGATATATTAAGTATTAAATTACGTAGAGGCAAATAAATTCGTTGTGTTTTTTTACTTACTGGAAGTGTCGAAGAGATCGAGTGCCTGGCAACTGGCCACGAGGAGAAATACGAGAAAAAGTTTCATCTTGCTGACTACAAAGAGAAATCAAAAAGAAATAATGTTAAAATCGAAACACTTTCATTTTCAAGTCTCATCTTTTTACCTTTATTACTTAACAATTATCAGCTGATAGATGATAGCAATAACAATACTAAAGAGCATCTGATAGCTAGCTTTATATTAGTAAAAAGAGTCGTCAGCTTGTAACGACATTAGGTCACGAGATTGTAGCAACAGGGCCGGTGAGTAGTACCCCGAACCCGACGAACATCCCGACCAGGGCGGCCAAATCCTAATTGGCTGCCTCGGTCAGGGCTTTGTGACCTTCGCTATCTTTATCAACGTTTACTTTTTCAGCCTACATTTATATACGATATAAAATTAAACTAAGCGCAACTGACTATTAAAGGATGAAAATATTTGCGGATTTTGACATCATTCTGGGGTAAGTTTTTTTCTGTCCAAATCTATGAATTTGTTTTGGTCATGCTGAGTCTCGAAAAAAAAAACTATTCGGTAGAATAGAAGCCTTGGCACGAGCTCTGTGTGTGGCAGCTTTGATTCGTTTGTATTTTCTTGTTTTGGTGAGAAATATTTATGTGATAACTTGTGGAAATATTATTGATGTCGCTTGAGGTTGTTTTAAGTATGAAATAGTGTCGTGATAGTAATGTGGTGTACGCGACACGTGATTCGCTAGGGACTAAAAAGACCTCGAAGGTAAACAAAAATATGATACGCCTTTTCTCCTTTTACTTAACTGGATGCGAGTGAAGAGAAAAAGAAGAAAAAGAGTGTTTTATCATTTTCTTATATACTGTATATATAACACCACCTATTGGACGGTATTTGAAGTGCTTCAGCAGACAAGGTGGAGTAATCCTACATATTATTAAATACAATATTAAAAGGAAAATAATAAGAAAACATATCTTCAGTGTCTCAATAGAAAAATTACTTTGCACATGTTATGATCGCCACGTCGGTCTAAAATGACTAACAAAATGGCCGCCTTCATGTTTCAAACCCATCCCACCCAAAAAATATCGTATAAGAACTCAACAAGTTCTCATCACTTGACTTCCCTAGAGGTCTCAACATTCTTAATCTGATGATGGCGCATCCTTCCTCCATTTTTTAAAAATCTGAACGATAAATGTTCTTTTTAATACCCTTAGATGTCTGAAAACATCCACGTGCTACACTGAATGTATCAGCTGTGATGCACTTCTTAGCACCAACCACTGCTACTGATAACAACGGAGCCCTCAATCCATTTATTTCAGAGAAATAAATAAATAAATAATGAGTGGTGAGATATTAAGAGATTAACCGATTAACACCCCGCGTTACTCTCTGACAAATAATATGGCTTCCGTTTTGCCACATCTACCTCTGATATGCTAATTGCCATCACTGAATATGTATATCAAGCTCTTGATAATAACGGGGAGAGTCGAACAGTGGCTCTAGATCTCTCGAAGACGTTTGACAGGGTTTGGCACGCTGGGCTTCTACGTAAGCTCCAAAGCTACAGTATTACTGGACGTCTATTTGATTTAATCCAATAGTCCTTATCAAATCGTGAAATGGAGGTCGTTTTGAACGGGTTCGCTTCCAGATACTTTCACACGAATGCGAGTGTTCCTCCAAGGCTATATTCTGGGTCCTACGCTGTTTCTGATCTTCAACAATAATCTCCCTGATGTCATTAGTTCCCAAGTCGGTGTTTATGCCGATGAAACTAGTATTTACTCCTGTCTCAATAGCAAATCCGTCAACCTGGCCGTCGCTCTTAAAACGGACTTCCAATAGGTAGTTAACTGAGACAGGAAATGACTCGTAAATTTTGATGCCGCCAAAACAAAACTGCTCTCAATTAATCATCATAGATAAACTTTCCTGGCCACCATAAGCATGGCTGATGCTAGACTCATAAAGAGAAACACACTGCGCCTTCTTTGCCTCACGTTCTCAACCTACACTGAATCAATAGCTGCATATACTGCAAGGAAGGTTGGATCACTGTGTTATGCCAGAAGGTTTTTCTCGTCGGAGTCCATCTTGTACATTTACAAATCTACGATTCGTCCATGCATTGAATACTATTGCCATATTTTGCCAGGTGCTCTTGCCAGTCATCTCGAGGTTCTTGACAAAATCCAACGAAAGATTTATAATGCAATCAAGCCTGACTTGGCATCTCGATTTTTCACCGTGACTTGATTTCTCTCTGTATTTTCTAAAAATACTTTCATGGCTACTGATCTGATAAGCTTTTTTTTCTTGGTACCCGGACTACATGAGTTTACATTTTCCCCATCTCTTAATACTTTTCTTACTTTTTAAAAGGCACCTTTCGCTATTCTGGTTAAATTACTTGATTATGACGTCTAAAATACGGAATTCACACTTGACTCTTCGATATGTTACTAATCAACCTTAGTAACTTTTGTCAACCATGGCTTAAAGCCACATCATGTTGAAACACCAGTTCCCGTACGATCACCGAAATTAAGCAACATCAAGTCTGGTCAGTACCTAGATGGGTAACCACTTGGGAATACTACGGGGTGTAAGCTTAGATGTGCTGGTGGTATAATGGATAATGGCTCGGAGTTGTTAATCTAAGAGCCGAGATCCAATTCCCGTTGGGTTCGTTATATTCATTTATGTGCAAATAATATTAGCAAAGGTATGAATCCACTTCTTCTACTCAATGCTATGGGTTAATTAGTAAAAATGTTATCGCTAAAACCATTATTATCATAAAAAAATGCGTACTAAATATTTAGATTTCGGAACTAAGTAATACCTTGATGTTGATATAACACTAAACGAAAATAACCAACCAACCATGACGACATCGCTATTTTACCGATATTGAGGAGGAAGGAATAGATTTATGCCTTTCTCAAGAGCAATAGCAGATTTTTCTTTGTTTGTGGACAATATTCCACATGCCACTCTCATATCCACGACTGGCGTCTCCTGATTCACCTTAAAGTAATTTTTTTTAAGAAATAAAACAGTAAACAAGGATTACGAGTCTTACCTGTGATTCTGCGTAAAGACAAGATCTTTGAAGCTTTAGGGCGAATTGTTGAATTTATAGTCTCCCTGCTCGTTACCTGATGTTGTGTTCTCATGAAATGAAAGGCTCTTTGGCATGTCGTGTTCCTATCATTAAATCACGTTCTTATCTCTACTGATGATAGTACATGAGAAACGGGGATGGGAACACTATTTATCATTAACCCTATTTTCATCCGTGCATATTGTATTTTCAATAGAAACTCATCTCTATGGACAAAGGAAAAATTATTATGACGAGTATTTTAATGAAATTTCCTCTTTGCGACAACATGAATTGTAGGCAACTAGGACTCTCTTAATCGATCTTTTGTCTATTCGTCCGTGCATTGCATATTGCTGTCATAGTGATTTAGAGCTCCTGCTATATATCTCAAGATGTTCGACAAAATCCAAAGAAGGGTGTGTAATGTTATCGGTCCTAACCGCCATGCCGTTGGCAACAAAGAAAAGAGTACTGAACTGCTACGTGATATCTGTCATCCTTTTCGGCAGCGAATGTTGGACAATCTCCTCGAACATGAAGCAGAGACCTGAGGCGTCGTGTACTATGGACAAAACTGCGTAAATCCTGCCGAAAATTACATAAGTCCTGTCGAAGATAACACAATCACCATCCAGAGCCATGGTAAACCAATGTCTCCTTCGTTTGGGCGCTTGTCAGAACTCAGACATGAAAAATAAGTACTTCAATGAAAAACACTGTTGATAACTCTGACAAATTTACTGAATAATAAAAAAAAATAGCTGAATAAAATGTCTCTATTAGCTACTGCAAATTAAAATACTCTACTGCAGGAGTAGTGATTTAGAGATTATGGTCAATACCCAGTCACTTAATAGCCAGCCAATACTTCGGTTATGCGTGTCTGTGTTTTTCCACCGGCTCAGAAATTGCGGTTATACTCTTTAGAGTGACAGTCTTAAAAGCAATTCCGGCCGTCTGGATCCACTGAAATTATATAAATATTTTCATGGTAATTATTCTAATGAGCTTTCCGCGTGGGTATCCCGGCTGAGCGAATTTAAGCGTACTACCAGACTGACAATTAGGTCTCATTGTTTTACTCTTGAAATAACACGATATAACCAAAAGTTCTTTCTAATATTTTATTTTCTCACACTTCTCAGTTGTGAAACTCTCTTCCAGTTTCTTCATCCCTGGCACCTACAATCTACAAAAAATTAAATGCAACACCAATCGCCATCTTCTGTCTTCCTGAAACTTGTTCTTTTATTCTCCTTTCTATTCGCTAAAGTCTTCTCATTCTCTTCCACTCCAAGTAACCCTTTGCATCTTAGAGGCATTATTTCCATGCTTGGAGTGGAATGATTTTAAAAATAACATCTTCTATCGAAGTAAAAGTATATTTCCGATAGTTATTTTAGTGATTTCAATCCACAATTTTAATAGTCCGTGTAACTTCCCTGTTTGTATTCACAAAACCAACTTCTTCAAATACGTTATTCCTTCTTACACTTTTAATTTCCATTTAAAGTAGGTACCTCCACGAGATCGCTAAAAAAGAGTATAGCATGATGAAAAAGACGCCAAACTTGACGAAAACAAAATTTTATCGTCTACATGTTTGTTATTTTTAAGAGGAAAGATCAAAGTGTTTTGGGGGTATTTTTTTTTTTTACATTTTTTTAATCGTTCCTAGCACGTCCGAAATTTTCGTTAAAAATCTTGTTTTTTTGATTTCAGCAAAATTGACCATTTTTTTCCATTTTATAAAAAAAAACTGGAAATCTCACTTTGAAATTCTTTAAATATCAACATCATTTTTTCAAAACTTATTTTAAGAAAATCAGAAATTATAATGTTTATTTAAAATATTTTGAGCCAAGCTTAATTTAGCTTCTGCGCCGAAAAGATGTAATTTGAAAATAAAACAAAGCAGGTCATAAACTTTCGCGTCACTTGACAGGTGATGAATGACATATTGAGGAATTCCGTGAGGCTAATTTGTTCTACGGAAGGAGAAAAGTAAAATAATTTACATTTAAGTGAACAAATTATTTACCTCGTTATTTTTAAGGAAAACTTCCAGCGCTCTAATTTTTTGTACTTAGCTTTCACCTTTGCGTTTATGATGCTTTATGGAAAATATATTCTAAAGAAATTAACCCACAGATGGGGAGAAGAGATGAATTCATGATTCTCCCAATTGTATTTGAGCGTGATTGAATGTAACGAACTCGGCTAGAACTCTGCTCTCCGAATTCCCCATTGCGAGCCATTATCATTTGCTTCAATTTCACACCCACAAATGGATGGCAGAGCGAAAACAAAGAGAAATGGTAAAAAGTTAATTTTTTTTTAAGAAATTGACACGACGCATAATAAAGAAGTGAACTCTGCCTTGTGTCGTTCCCCATCAATTCTGCCTATAATAAGTGTGTAGTATCTGTTCCTCTCTTCAGCCATGTTCATGTCTTTGAGAGAAACACGACATGAAGGCTGGTCTTGTGTATTTCCAATTCGCTGCTTATTGCACTTAAGGAGAACCGTGTTGCAGGAAATGAGCAATTCTTGACCATGAAAAATAGTATTTATCATCCCTCCACGCCGTCACGTTAAATTGATCATATATCTAATTTTCTTTCGTAGGGAAAAGAATAAATGCTGGGATTTGAGTGCATTATCGGTGCACTCTATAAACAACCCATGAGTTTTATCTACTAAGCTTATCTAAGTTCAAATTCCAGTCGATGCTGTTTCATTTATGTCGCATGAATTCCATAGGAAAAGGCATAAATCTATTTGTTTCCTTCTATGGGTTAAATAACCATGTATGCTGCCTTGAGTGGCAGCCAGTTTAAGGTGTTTTGATATTTTAAAACTTCATTGCACACTATGCAGCATTTTCCATTGTATCAGTTCTTCCAAAAATGTGTAACTAGTTCTATAACTAGCCTTCACCACTCTAACCAAATCATCTGTATGGGTAAGTCTAGTGGTACAGTGCTAGGCTAAACTCTGTTGTCCTCATACGTTGAAATCGACGTGAGGATCTACACATAATAGGATTATTTTAATTTTGACAAAAGTATATGTCAGCTAATGAAGATCTGACTCATCACTTAATACTAATAGTGAAACTAGGTACCGCTATTCGACGCTGGGGCACAATGTGTGCGCGTCTGTGTGTTTTATAATTTCACACCAAGCAAGGAAATAAAGCCATTAGGAATCAAGAGGTTACTGAGTGTTAAAAAACATGAGAGAAACTACTATTAAGGAGAGAGGACAATAAAAGAACGGGAATCAAGGAGACAGAAATAACAATTGACATCGCATTTACATTTTTGAAGATCAAAATTGACAGGAAACCAAGTGGCCGGAAAAGAGTTCTACAAGCAAAATATGCGACACAAGAAACTGTTAGCATAGAATTTATGGTTCCATCGAGCTATTTCAACTGTAAAAGGATGAGTCTTTACCGCTAATCTAGTACAACGCTTAAATTCATAAAGTCTAGATAATATAAAGCAATGTTCACCAGAAAAATTACCATGTTTACACCTTTCTCTTTCTCTTTCTCTCCCCCCCTCTCTCTCTCTCTCTCTCTCTATCTATCTATCTATCTATCTGTGTGTGCGTGTGTGTTGATACAGAAATCATTTAATTTATTATATGCACACGAAGCAAAACAAACTAATAGTAAACGACTCATTCAAAAACAAGGCCTATTAGGTTGAGCTATAAGTAATATTCCTTTTTGGAAACCAATTGTAATGTCAAATGTGTCATACTAACTACTAATTATCCGTAGTAGTTAATAATAAATTTGGCGTACACTAACATATAGTGGTTTTTGCACAGCAGTGGCAGTGTCGGAGTTAACTCCTCCTAACTCCGTTAACCCTTTCACCAGGGGTCTCTCTTTCCTGGCTATAAATAGCCAATGACCCTTCGCCTCGATCTCTTTTTTCCTTTCAGGCCTGTGCACTGATACCTTGAGGTAATCTCTCTTATTCCTAGAGGATTTCAACTATCAACCTCGAAAAGTAGTCGCTAACAAGGACTAGCGTGGAATCACGCTAAGCACAATATACACAGACGCTCGTACACACTGAATATTCACACACACTTCGTCCTTTGTACTGTTTCCCTGTATTGTAACTTGTTATGAATATATATTTGTGTATACATATATTATCGGTCTTGTTTTGTTTGCTTTCTTTTCCTTCTTCTTTGGACTTAATCAAAGTACAACCTTTTTATGTAGTTGGGCTCGGCGGGCAGGAGTATCTGAACCTTGCGTTTCTTCTACGTCTGACTTCTATCCACAACATGACAGCCACGCCATGAACCTTCAACAAACCGTAACCGCCAACGGGCCCTCCACAAATGGTGACCCCGACGTGATTTTTCAACTCCTGCTAAAAACACCACAAATGGTGACTTTTCCACTCTTGCTAAAAAACACACAAGACGATATATATGTACAAAAACAAACAATTTCTTATATACACACCTT